TATCCAATTGCCCCATCGTGGACTTGGGATCTAATATTGAAATGTTATATTTAAGCTGTTAGAAGTAGGTGGGGCTTAAGTTAAAGTTGAGGAGAAGGCGCTCCCCTACTCCTGGTCAGTGTGTGAGAGAGAGAGTAAACCTGCGCTCAAGTGTGCGCGAAAACGCTTGGGTAGTTAGAAACACTGGTACCAGATCAATTGTCTCAAAAACGAAAAAAAAAAAACTGTTTTTCAACAAAAGTAAAGCAATGAATTTTGTAATAAGTTACTAATATTTCCTTCAAAACATAAAGTTTTTTTCTGATCTTTCTGTACATGTAACTTGTACATAAGTCATTCTATGGGAACTGGCATATTTAAAGGACCAGAATGGACAAACGCTCAAGATAGTAGTTGATAAAATCAAGAGCCGGCGAATGGTTTTGAAATTTTAAACATACTAATATACTTTTTTATCTACTATCAATCAAGTATTAAAATTGTAGAGTAGCCAGAGATGCCGAAACGAATATACAAGGCTTCAACGTTTCAATACTTAACATAGCAAGGATAGGCTAAATATTGAAAAAAGGAACAGTTTCTTCAATTAGAAAATCATCATACAATAAATTGATGTATTCAAAAACTGATATTGTATTTTATATGTCTATAAAACTAATATTCAAAAATAAAAGAAGTTGCCTGTGCCATCTTTAAAGTGTTGCCATTTTTATCTTTTATTCTATATTTTTAGTAAATCTATGCAGTAGCCAAAATAAATACTGTTTTTAATTCTTTATAATTTCGTGCAAATGTTGTAATTGTATTCTACAAGTAATGTTTCTAACATTATTATTCAACATACTTCAATTACAAATAATTACATTTTTGGAGTAAAGGATTACCTAAAATTGAATTTAACCGTACGGATATATTTTTTGTAAGGTTAAGGCACTAGTTACTGGCCGCGACCAGTACCTGGCCACCGACACCGTTTCACGAATTATGAGAATTAACATTAATACTAATCCGTGACAGGATAACATTACTGTAAATACTTATCAATAATTCATTTTAATGTGCAATTAAGTTAGTTTTTTTAGTTCAAGACTTTAAAAAAAATTTTTGAAAAAATGGTGGCTAAGAACTAGATCACTTATACATAAAGTGGGTACATAACCTCACTTTTGGCAAGCACTAGTAGCCAGCCACCTCAAATTATATACGGGTTTAGCATGAGGTGGTCAGTTACTAGCTCCAAAATTTGAGCCACTAAAGCAACCTTTTTTTTCAATGACCATATACTAAAGCATCTGACATACTCAGATCCTCTCCTAAAAGAATGAGTGTCACGTGACTGTCGACAAAATACGCCGTGATCTTATTAGTCGTGAGGGACGAAAGGCGGTACATTTAGATGTACATATGAGATTAAGTAGACAAGCGCTGGTTAATCGAGGTCGTTTTATTGGTTTGAGCTCAGATTGATTTTAAAAATTTAATCATTCGATTTAGATTAAGTAATTATTAGAAATATGTTTAATCAAAAAAGTTTGGGAGGTTGGCGCGGAGCACGCAGAGGGCCAAGCCCCCTAGTGATTATAAATAATTATTGTCTACGGTCGGATATAAGACTTCTATTTATCGTATAGTTTGAAATAGATTTATAGCTTTCAAATGATACCTAACTAAAGTTAAAATTTTAAAAACTGTTTAAAATATACGATGTTGTTTTAATAACTGCTACTAAGTGGCCAGTAACTAGTATTTTTACCTTATTGTCTGTGACCAAAATAAGCTAAAATTTTTGAAGCCCCGCTCTAATTGTCCAAAACAAATGTTGACGATGATTTTCTTGTTTTATTTTTCAAAAATAGTAGTGTTGTGGGCTTTCAAAAAATCTCATTACAACTGAAATGTAGGCGCTCTACATAAAAATTTACCTTTAATCTCACATTTATGTAATTTATTTATCATGGACAATTGTTCAATTCACTACCACACTTGATAATTTAACGAAGATACAATGCGTTATGTATTATTACCGGATAGCGTTACAGGCTTTAAAAAAAAAAAAAAAAAAAAAAAAAAAAAAAAAAAAAAAAAAAAAAAAAAAAAAAAAAAAAACATTACGGGCTCTTACGAATACGTCTAAAAATTGATACTCTGACGGACTACATAAAAATAAAGCATCGCCCTTGCGCTTATCTTGCGTACAAACCAGCTATATTTCAACTCATCACCTTCCAAATCGTTGACCAAACGCTTCAAAAACTTACATGACATTTCATAGCGTTACGGGCTCTTGGTTTTTTTTGGGAGACTGAATTTATAAAATTGCGAGCCTGAAGTGTTGGCTCATTGGGTTAGAAAAATGGTAAAAAAATTTCTGCAAGATTGCCGACCCTCGTATAATGCAAAACGTTTTAATTAGAACGCCAAAATTGAATTACAAGTATTTGTCAAAGCATTTTCCGTTGAAATTTTAAATTTATCAGATTTCGGTCGCACAACTTCAATACCATTTAAGTCTTCGATTCAATTTTGTAGGGTCTCTTAAATGCATAAAAATTTTATTTATGTAAATAAATTTGAGATCTTATGCCATAGAAAAAATTGCAAAATCCGCATTTCTAGATAAGGTATGAAAACTTTAAATTTTCGAGTAAGCCACAAGCCCATAACGCTAATGCAGCTCCTTTATCGCATCTTCAACTAAAGGAATGTTTTACGACCTGAATTCCGTGCCTTCAGCATAAAACATTCCTAGATTATTATAAAACTATTTCACATCGATAATCTTTCATGTGTGGGGCAACGTTGTAATTAATTGGATCACGGAATATTCATCGTTTTAGGTATAATGACTTATATGTGGCATTCTCATGAGATACAACAGTGAAACTCACACTTTTTTTCTGATAGTATTCATTATATTTTACTCTGATAAACAGCTACTTGAATTTTATTTTGTACAAAAGATAAATTGTACAATTTCCAAATATGTATTTAATTATCTAAGAAATCACAAATTGTCTATGCTGTGAACGCAATCAACTAATCCCCTTATAAGTCAATTCACTTATATACTTACTGACATAACAGAATGGTGTGAAATATGATTTTCAAAGCTTTCAAAATATATAAAATACTTACATACAGAAGAATGCCAAAGCATTTGAAATAACGAAGCATGTTGCTGAGAGCATTTAAAATGTAACAACTTAATAAAAAATACTGCCTTACATACCAGCATAATTCTTAAAGTTCTAAGAAATTACGTATTACACATAAAAAAAAGTAACACAGCAGAGTTAAACTTTTGAGCTGGATTCCAAAAAATTGCTTCACACGAAGTTCGTATCCTTCTTAGTCGTATAGATGTTTAATTTCATTAAAATTTGATTATTACACTGATACACAATTACCAACATAATCTGATATATAGTACATGACAGGTTTTTTATTATATCATTAATTGAAAAAGTATAAATATATTCATGCACAATTAATGAATGGCTCTACTGTAATTTGTTTTGTTGATACTAAATATTGTTTAATGGTACAAAAAACTTAAAATAGATACAAAAATAGATTTTTTGTCTGTTATATTGCATTGACCATCTGGAATATTACAACTGTAACTGATTATTAAGAAACGTTTATACTTGAACGAACATTTTCAATAAATCTGAAGCGGGAGTAAAAAATCAATATGCTTTGAATATCCTACAGACATTTTGTAATTAAGATACCCTTCTAAACCTATAAATAATCTGCAAAATTTTTTGAATCATTGTTAAGGCTTTGATGGTCCATCAACTGTAAAAAAATCCTATGCAATCGATTAAACCATTTTGTTCCAAGGAATACGAGCACAATAAATGATATTTTTTTTAAAAGCCGTACAGTAACATAAGCATGTTAAATGATTTAAATAACAAATAACCTGGAGAGACTGTTTTTTCAAGAATTTGTATAAGCTGAACTGCTATTGGATCCATTTGCATCTTGTTAGTGTTTAATAAGTGACTGACTTACAACATACAAATGACTTTTAATGCATGTGTAAATGAATATATGAACTTTTGCTTCATATATCAATACTTCAGAATAATAAAAATTACCATTAGCCGGCTTAACTAACAACTATGCGGATACAGAACGTCGCGCGCGCAAGTACATCGCACGTGAACGTAGATATACAGATTTACTTCGATGCGAGTATGCTTAGTTAAGGGCTGAAGTACGAACTCCGGCTGTGTTATGACCTGGTCCTTGGAGCTTGGGCCCCGAGTAGAAATTTTACTTCGTTTCCTTGTTTGAAGATATTTGCAGGTAGTACCTCTTCTACTACCCAGATGACGCCACATAATTAAGAGCTAACTAAAAATGACCGAGCTAAAAACAAGGCATCGCCTCAACCAGTGTTGGGTGAGGACGTGAGAAGAATATGATTTTGCATTTTTATCACTAGGACCTATATATAGCTATAGATCCTAGTGAGAAAAATGCAAAAGCTGAATTGGAGGGGGGGGAGGACAGTGGTTCTCCCCAAATGTGACTGGCAAACTTGTGGGAAATTCAAATTGGCAATGTGGTGCAAGACGCAAATACCCAGATAACCCAACACAATTACATGCCTAATAACTTGATAAACTAATCCCAAGCTACTTAACCTAATAACCCAATGGGCCAATAAGCAGCCTCATGAGTTTGAATAAATAATAAAATTTATTAATTAACAAAGCAAGCGCCAATCCCCACACGACCCAAGGCACTTACTGGTTGCTTTAATTATTTATGATTAATAAAATAATACCGCAAACACCTATAACCACACAACCAGGGGCACTTACTGGTTGCTTACTTAAATTACTATAAATAAAATAATA